GTGTGAAATAAACTATACATTAAAAAACAGTTGCGACCATTTTCCAGTAATATTTCATAAAAATGCCACCCAGATCAGGATTTGGCCTGGGGTTCAGTTTTCCAAGCTCTGGCTAGTTCCAAGAAGAAGCTTGTTGTTACCTTTATTGAGTTTGCATTAATGCTTCAAACTGACTTCTTCATGATACTGAGTCAGTCCATCTAAGAACAAAACATAGGCTTCCATTTGTTCCTTCTACTTTGGGGCCTTTTATTTACTTATTTATTTTTTATGTTTGTTTATTTTCTTACATTGTGGGTCCTTTTTCTATAGTTATTGCTCCCCTTAGGTGTGGCCTTCCAATCAATAATCCACGCACGCACCACCCTGCTCCCCCCCCACCTCTCATCCTGCTCCCATCACTTTTCCTCTTCCTTTGCTGTAAGACGAGGCTTGATGGTTGCGCTCAGCCTTTTCTTTTTCCTGGAAGCTTGTCCTTTACCTGGTTGAGGACCTGGGCTCCTCGATTGCAGCAGACCAGGCTGCTCAAATCTCCAGAACTGGGGGGCAAGTAGCAAGGCAGAGGGGTTCAGGAACATCTTCCAGGTCAGGTGTGTGGAGTGGGTCTCTGGACTCCTTGAGTTTGGAGCTCCCTGTGGCTTAGACGACTGACTGTCCTTTGTCTAGACCAGTATGACCTTTCCGTGCGTCCTCACTCATCGGCACTGATTGTGCCATCCATTCCAGTGACTGTCACATGGTGCTGTTTCTCAGTCTTGTAAGTCTGGTGTTGGGAACCCTGCTCCCCTCAAAGTCAGACATGTTCCCCTGTGGGGAGAGACTCCTGTAGTTGGTTGGTCCAGCTCCCCTGGTCGCCTTTCATGGTTTCCAGTCCTGCTCTGGGTCCTGTCACATCTCTGATCTCCTCTCCCAAGTGGAGAAGGAGCAGCTTCTACTTCGGGTTCTTTTAGTACCTGAGAGTTTTCTTCTTTGTCTTACATTGTTACTGTTTCATTTCTTTCTAAGTTATTTTATATTTTATACTCATTAGTATACAAGGAGTATTCTCTGTCGTTGTGTACTCTTGTTGTTATTTGTGGATAGAAAAGAGCTATTGATTTCTCTGTGTGAATTTTACAATCCTACTACCTTACTGAATTCCTTTATATAGTTTGAGTCAAAACAAGTTTTAACATTACCTGTAGGGTTTTCTAGTCATACTGTCAGTATATCTCCAGAGGTAATTTTCCTTTTTTTCCTCTTATTATCCCTCTAATTGAGGCCTCTTTTCTAGTTAGAGTGGATGCTACTTATAAAGGTCATTCTTATTTGCTCCTGATCTTAGTGGAAATGACTAGTTTTTCTTAGGTACCTACTGTAGAATTAAGGAATGCATGCTTTATTATGTTAAAAGAAGTAAACACTCATTGCTATTTTATGGAATATTTGCATCATGAACAGATGTTGACTTCTGTTGTAAGTTTTTTCAGCATCTGTGTAGGTAATTGTATGATTTTCTCATATTTTTAATATGCAGCATTATATTAATAGATTTCCTAATCTATATCAATTGTATGTTCCTTAAATAATTCCCACTTGACTATGGTATATCTCTTAATGTGGTTGTTGGGTTCTTATTAGTACTGATAGTAGACTGTAAAAAAATTTTAATACTCTGTTGGGAATAGTTATCAATGTTAAACTTTTTTCACCAATAAAGGCTTTTTCACTTTTTTGGTGCTCTGGAGAACATTTATGAAGTGTTGGATTTAGAGTACCCTTCTTAAATCATCTGGATCATTAATACCTTTTTGAGTAGAATGGTGCCTTAGTGATTTTATTATTTGCACAAATGAATGATTTAAAACTTTGTCTGATAAGAGTTGCTTCTTATGAATTGTGTTCCCAAAGAAACACAATTTCATCAGTTATATTTATGTGTATAGGTATTTTTTCCCCTCTGGTTTTGGTGCTCATTTATTTGGTGGTTATTGCATTCTCCAAATTTATTGTATTCTCTTTTGTATCACAAATGTGTGCTCCCATTTTTCCATCAAGTTAGCTAGTGTTTAAGTATTTCAAAATGAGGATTTTGATTTATAATTAAATATATTGCTTTTCTCTTTAGTTCATTAATTTCACTTACATGTAGTTTCTTGATTCTTTTGTTTTTCTTAGATTTGGTATGTGAAGTTTAATTCTTTCAGTTTTATTGATTAAAAACTATTTAAGACCAAATATTTTTTGATTGCTTTAAAATATATATATATAGGTTATATAATACATAATTTCAGTTATCAAAGAAATTCTTTTCATTTTTTTCTAAGGTTTCCTTTGGATTGATTGCATTGGGTTTTGTATCTGTTGTGGCAATATTTTTTCCTCTATTCGCTGAAGCATTGTTTCAGTGATACCCCCCCCTCCAATTGAGAGGGGCTTTTGTTACTTGCTGTCTTAATAAATATCAAATATTTTCTTTTTCTGCAGTGTTGTTTATACCTTTTTGTGGAACTTGTTGATGCTGTCTTTATGACCTAGTAGGTGAAATATTTTTGTCACTGATTCATGTATGCTTGAGAAGAAAGCATTCTGGCTGTAAGCTTCAATAGCTGTCCATAAGATGCAATTATTAACTCACTTCAGCTTTCTGAAGCTCACTTACCTGTTGGGCCATTTTGTGTTTTTTTATTACAGTATTGATGCTTTCATCTGTCTCTTGATATCAGTGTTTCGGCTTTGACAAGGCCACTGCTGTGAAATTTAGCTCACAGATAACCATAACTGTTACACGCTATTGTTATATTGTAATGATGGATTTCAGAATTTAAAAGTGCCCCTTATATTTACTGCTTCTGGTGTGAATTAGTCTGATACCTGGACATAAGCCCTGTTTTTATCATTTATTTCATAGTAGTCCTTTTCCTGTTCTTTTTATATGCAACTTTCTGAATCACTTTGGTGTAGGCATCTCTTGGTTGAGTTTTACTCTGAGTCACAAAAATCTCTTTATCAGGTTGGTGAAACTCATTTACCTTTATTAATATATGTTTGGTTTCAACACTGTCCTTTATCTTATATTATATTTACACTATATTTTTCTATGTTTTCATTGCTCTTTCAATAGTTTTTTCAAAAAAAAATTTTTAGAGTGTTGGCTACCTTTTTAAATGCCTTCAGCCCCATTTTCTTATTGAACCTTGAGTCATCTGATTTTCAGTTTTAATGAAAATCTGTTAATGGCATGATCAGTAAGGTTATTTACTTTGTCCCTTCCCACTTCTCCCAATTTTTAATTGATTTTCTCCTAATTTATTGAACGTAAAGTGTTTAACACGAGTGCTAGCTCAGCAGCTCTTTGCCACTTTTGGCATTATAGTGAAGTATTTTTGTTTTTTTAATGGAATGGCATTCTTAGAACTGGTGGAGAAACAGGTTATGCCTTTTTTCTTTTTTTTTTCTTGGAAGACCTTACATTTCTCCTGTCCCCTTTTCTTCTTTACTTTGTAGTCCAAAGGTTCCTTCTCCCTTCCTTTTTACTCTTCTTCCCTGAAGACCGCCTTTCCAGGGTGCCTCTCTGGTTCCTGTGTGCCCACTGAGACCCACCTGTATCCTGCTCTGCTCTGAGCTGTTTTAGGCGCTTCTGTAATACTTACAGTGGGTGAGTTTTCTCTTCCTTAGGTTGACTTACCCACCAGCACGCCTCCTCTCTCTGCCCCACTTCCCCGTGTTCTCCTTAATAGCTTGCAGCTAGCATGTGGGATCTAGCTGGCTGGGGCTTGCTGGTTATGGATTTGGGGTAGTGAGTTGGTTTCTCTTCTTTTCATATTGCTTTTAAATCATGTTAAATATTTTATGTTCTAATAATTAGGAGAAAATCAATTAAAAATTTGGAGAAGTGGAAAGGGACAATGTAAATAGCCTCACTGATCACACCAATAACAGATTTTTATTAAAACTGAAAATCAGATCACTCAAGGGTAAATAAGATAAAGGGACTAAAAGCATTTAAAAAGATATAGTATTGGGAAAGCTGGATTTCTACAACTACTACTGCCCTAACTTCTTCTCATAAGTCTTTAAATTTCTTCTTTCAAAGATAATTTGTTCTTTTTTATGTTTAGATCCATTTTCTGTCCCTTGACTAGTCGGGGTTAACTCACTGATGTGGAATCTCGTGGATTTTCTGAAAAATCCCAATTTTGTTGCCCTGACTTCTAAGATAAGCTTGTATTCGAACTAGGGGATACTGCTGGTTGGGTGGCACTTTAAATTCTGGTTTCCCTGATAGAATCCTCTGCTAGCTGGGCTGCACATTTTGTCAGGTTTCATCCTTACATTCAGTGGGAGAACAAGGCTGGCAAGCGTTTCCTTCTCCTGGACTGGAACCAGTGACACAAAACACTGTCGCAGCACTGGCAGGTGGTCAGGGCTGCACAGAGCCACCGCTGTCCATGCCATAGGTTGTTTGCATCTGCACAGGTCCACTTTTGCTCCTGATCCTCTTAGCAGAAAGGTTGTGCAGGGACCGGAAATCAGGCAGGTAAAGCTGCTGAGGGAAGAAGTTGATGGACAAGTCTGTTCTCTCTAGCTTCTTTTGATGCTTGTAATCGATGCCTCCGGAATGTTTATGGTTGAAACACATACAGGTTAGGTGGTTGTAAAATTTGAATAACCAAAATTAAGGTGCTGGCATGACTTCAGTGAGGAAAGTGCCGCTAACAGGGTGGTGGTCATATGTCATTGAGAGTTAGTGTTGGGGGCATGCCAATCATGACACAGTCCCGGGGAAGCTATAGATTGTGGAGATGGTTTCCAGATTCTTTATTATCCTGTTTCTCTAGAGTCTATGGAAGGACTTAGGCATGTGATTATTCCCTTATGGATAAATTTTTAGGGATTGTGTAAAAATCCATCTGTTCTTTCTAAGAAATTGTCATTTACCCATTTTGAGCTTCTTTGAATGAGATGATGTAGTGCTAAACCCTCTCATTTATGACTCTTCTTGTGCTTGTGTTTTACAGAATGTTATCTCCCTTGAGAAATTAAATTCTCAGGACCAGGAAGTAAATGCTGCTTATATTCCATCTCGACTGTAGGTATGTGAGAGTTTTTTCAATTTTTTGAAGTGCACCTCCTCTCTCCTAGTCTGCGACTCACCACAGGAACGCCCATCCCCATGGCATTCAGCCTTTGTCCTTTTCCCAGTAAGGACCCTAGTGGAATCTCAGAAGGATTCAGCCCTGCCTAGCAGGTGTGTGTTGAGCACCATCTGTGTATTGGGCATGGCTGTATATACAGGGGGAAGATCAGCAAATGAAGACAACCTCCAGCTGTATTTTAGCAGTGGTCAGTCATGATCTAAATGTGTTGGGAGGTGGATGTGTCCTGGAGGAAACTAGGGCAGGGGGCAGTAGGGAATGCTGGTGCACAGTGTCCAGTCATGTGGTCAGGAAAGGCCTCCATCTTTCCTGAAACAACATCTGAAAAATCCTTGCAATAATTGGGAGAGTTTGCACATACCTGGAGGCTGTGTGGCAGAAGGCCCTCAGGAGAGAATGAGCCGATGAGGAACAGATACGAGGCCACTGTGGCTGGACTGGACCTGTAAAGAGCAGAACAGTGAAAGAGGTCAGAGCGGCAGTGGCTGGGTTGGAAAGCACCTCATAGATGGCCACTGGCCATTGTGAGGACTGAGGAGAAGCCATTGAAGGGAAGAGAAGGACAACATACTGTGACTTTTGTCTTAACAGGATTACGCTCACTGCAAGGTTGAGAATTAGGTTGAAGGAGGGTTAGTGAGAGAAGGATAGTATGTTACTTTGCTGGGACCACACTAACATGTGAACTGCAAGCTGGGTGGCTTTAACAAGTTTTGTTTTCCCACAGTTGTGGAGACTGGAGGTCCCAGATCAAAATGTCAAGTTTGGTTTCTTCTGAGATCGTGCTCCCTGACTTGTAAATGACCACCTTCTCCCTGGGCCCTTACATGGTGTCCCCTGCCTGGCCTGCATCCCTAGTCTCTCTGTGTCCTAGTCTCCTCTCGTTAAGATACCAGTCAGTGGCTTCATTTTAACTTGACTCATTACAAGTCCTGGTCTTCAAATACAGCAACATTCTGAGGTGGGTAAGGGCTCCCACATATGTGTTTCTAGGACCCCCAATTCAGCCCATTACAGGGCACCATTTAGGAAGTTACTACAATAATCCAGGTGAGAAATGAGCATGGTTAGGACCAGAGTAGTTGCAGGAGTGGTGAGAAGTGATTGAATTCTGGTTTTGAGAATTGAGCCAGCAAATTTATCAATGGCTCATTTAGAGAGCATGAGAAAGAAGAGTGCAGGGTGATTTTGATTACTAATCCATTTTATGGGTGAGGAACTCAGTACAGACCAATTAAGTAACTTGCCTAATATCACCCAGCTAAAATGATAGAATCAAAGGACTTCTCTCTGGGCACTGGGGATTCTGATGATCACTAACCATTTCCTTCCAGATGTTTCCTGTGACGTCCCTGTGTAGGGACTACACAGATATTCACAGGTCTTTTTGTTTATCTTCTTCAGGGGCAGCATATAAATGACTAGACCTGGTCTTATTGCTCAGCTAAAGCAAGGGGAAGAGGAAGAGCCCTGGTTTTGAAACCACCCAGCTTACCACCCAGACTGATTAAAACAAAATGGTTCTTCCTGTCACTTGCCCCTTATGTGCTTTTATTGGTTTTATATTAGTAAACAGGCAAGAAAACAAATGCTTCTGAACTCTGAAAAACTAGAAAATTATGATTTCTGATGCAGAATTTTTTCTCTTCTGCAGCGATTTTTAATTTTGAGGATTCTTAATCATAAGTATCTAAACAATATTTCTACTTTGTCTCACAGGGCTGGAAATACCAAACAAGGAATTAGTGTGTATGATGGTGAAACCTTGTAAAGACAAACTGCTTGTGACTGAAGGGCCTAAAACAGATGTGTCTCTCAAGATCTGATCAAGGAAATGACTGTGAAGAAGATGATGGTCAAGAGGACCCGTGGAAAGCCTCCTAGGACAGAGCCATAGAAAATGTACACTTCAGAAAGGAGGTACAATCAGAGAACTCAGAAAAGGAAGCTCTATCATGTATGCCCTCAGAAGGCTAAAAAGATTTTTATTCACGTGCGTGAGATCGCTCGAATAGATGATCAGCTATACCAGTGCCTTGACCGTGAACAAAACTTGCGTGAAAACTTAGCTCTTATTATGTGTGAGCGAACCCATACGGGAGAGAAACCTTATAGATGTGATATGTGTGAGAAAACCTTCATCCAAAGCTCAGATCTGATTTCACACCAGAGGATTCACAACTTTGAGAAACCTTATAAATGTAGCAAATGCGAGAAGAGCTTTTGGCACCACTTGGCCCTTTCAGGACACCAGAGAACTCACGCAGGTAAAAAGTTCTACACGTGTGACATTTGTGGCAAGAACTTTGGCCAGAGCTCTGATCTGCTTGTCCACCAGCGAAGCCATACGGGCGAGAAGCCGTACCTGTGTAGTGAGTGTGATAAATGCTTCAGTCGAAGCACAAACCTCATAAGGCACCGAAGAACTCACACGGGCGAGAAACCGTTTAAGTGTCTAGAGTGTGAAAAAGCTTTTAGTGGGAAATCAGATCTGATCAGCCACCAGAGAACTCACACCGGTGAGAGACCCTACAAATGTAACAAGTGTGAGAAAAGTTACCGACACCGTTCAGCCTTCATTGTTCATAAGAGAGTTCATACTGGGGAGAAGCCCTACAAGTGTGGTGCCTGTGAGAAATGCTTTGGCCAGAAATCGGACCTCATTGTACACCAGAGAGTCCACACGGGTGAGAAGCCGTATAAATGCTTGGAATGCATGAGAAGTTTTACTCGGAGTGCTAATCTAATCAGGCACCAAGCAACTCACACTCACACTTTTAAATGCCTTGAATATGAGAAAAGTTTCAGCTGTAGCTCAGATCTTATTGTGCATCAGAGAATCCACATGGACGAGAAACCACATCAGTGGTCTACATGTGAGAACGGCTTCCTCCTAGGCATGGACTTTGTGGCCCAACAGAAAATGAGAACTCAGACAGAGGAGCTGCATTATAAATACAGTGTGTGTGATAAAAACTTCCACCAGAGCTCAGCCCTTCTTCAACATCAGACAATCCACCTCGGTGAAAAACCATACATCTGCAATGTGGGTGAGAGAGGTCTCGAACTCAGCCCTCCCCATGCATCAGAGGCCTCACGATTGTCTTGACCAGATAAGACATTAAAATGCCATTAAAATACATTTGCATGTCAAAGAACTCGTTAAGAGGAAGAACTCTAGGCAAATCTCAGATTTCCTCAGACTTCAAGAGGGACCAGGGACTCCACAGTCAGAAGTGTGAGCAGTGGTTTGCCCTGCGAGCCGCCTGACCAACACCTTACCAGTCTCCCCTGTGAGAAACCTTACCAGCCCCTGAGTTTTGGAAAATCTTTGTAGTCCAAGCTCGAAAATGATCACAGGAGGATTCGTATGATAGGAAACCTCACAAAATGCAGGGAATGTGAGTGAACTTCCTAGCAGTGCTTACCCCTTCTCATTCCAAGGGAATTCACACCTAAGGATGACTTTTTAAAATGCTCTTAGTGTCTGCAGGGCTTCAGACAGTAAACATATCTCATGGAACTTCAGAAAACCCACACTGGGGCAGAACCCCAGCAGAAGTGTGGGGGAAAAACTTCCAAAAGAACTGTAACTTCCTTATCCATCAGTGAAGCCATACTGGTGAAAATCTGTATATTTGTCTTGAATGTGGCAGAGACATGGAGAACCTTAAGTTTGCAACAGGAAAACCCTGTCTGAGGAAAGACCTTGCAAACTCTCTGAAAGACAAAACTTCTATCCATGATCAGCACTTATAATAGCACAGCAGGGAACTCACATAGGTGAAAAACCCGTTCACACTAATACCTTGGGTTTGAAAAAAGCCTTGCTTAGAAACTTCTTTTATTGGGCTCCCACAGAAACTCCTCTGCAGAGAACTTTGCTCTTGTGAGAGACTGAATTGTGGACTTTGTACATATAATAGGTATGAGAAGAACTGTTCTCATAGTTCATGGACTCACGTGGTAGAGATGACTTTTAATGGACTCAGTATGTCAACAGTTTTTTCCCATACCCAGAAGCTGGTTCTGGGAGATGTTCTGGGGCAGGTCACAATAGGCCTGATGGGTAACTCAGGTAAAGATTCTTTTCTTTTATCTGAACCACTTAATAATTGCTTTACTTTTCGCTTTTTAAAATTTGGAAATCCAATAAAGGAAAGGACTGCAACCTTGTGACAGAAGGTGTGGCATGTGTGACTGGGGGAAAGGAATGTATATTGACTTTGCCTCTGATTTTGGGTTTTATTCTTGGCTCAAGTGGGGGCTAGTGTATTGAAAGTAGCATGGGAATTTTCTCTGGTCGTAAAAAGTGCTGAGCAACTTGGGGAGTCGTTACCCTGGATCCAAACTCTCCCAAGAGTTTCTCTTTGGTAGGCCAGCCTCACCGAGAAACAGAAATTCAGCTTTTTGCTTAGCGTGAATGAAGGTGTACCTTCAGAAGTTTCCTTTTCCCTAAACTATCTCTCAGAGGGCCACTAGGCTTTGAAATTTCAGCCTCAGATAGTCATTTCAGTTCAGAAATGCAAATTCCAAAACAGTTAAACGATGTGACACATTATTTTTGTGAATTTATCATGTCTCTTTCAGTGTTAGGCTACCCTCAGGAGCTCCAAGCAAATGGTTAAAGGGAGACAAAGATTTAAGGCAGAGCAGCACAGAGTAAAACACTTCTTGGTGTTTCTCAAAGGTTCTTTTTTTAACTATCCTGATTCCTAGGCTGGTGTTCTTTTCATTATCCTGCAGTGCTTATAGCAAATGAAACCCCATAATGATAGGCCTTTCATTTATTCAGTTCTGCCAAGGAAAAAGAGAGACGTTTTATCCCCAGACATGCAATCACCACACCATGAGGTACATATTTTGCTTGGAGTGCAGGATTCTCAATGCCTGAAGGGGCAGGTAGTTGGCAGACTCATCAGAGGTTTAAGCAGAAGCACTTATCTCCTATTTAACAAGATAATTATGATTACCATTAACATTTCCTGGAAATGCTATCATTAACCCAATGATTTAGAACTAGATACTTGTGAGGGTTTATTTTTTTCTTCCCTAAGTATAAAGACACTTCATAGAAATACTTAAGATTCCTGCATTATTTGGAACTGTAGATCAGTGAATAAATATTTTATTGCCAGTCTGAGCCTTCTGGTTGGTCTCCACAAGCACGTGAGACCTCCCGGGCACTGGCATTTACACTCAGAGGTGGCGGGCTGCTACCTTGCCTGTGACTCTAAGCTTTGCTCCCAAGTGGCTGCTATGTCGCCTTCGAGTCAGTGGCTAGAGCTCATAGTGATCATAAGGAGTCTGTTCCAGAGTGTTTTTTTCTTTTAAAAACAGATCTCGGAAATGTATTTGGTCTGTTGTATTTTTAGTGATTTTCATAAATAGCTCTTAGGTCATGAAAAGTGGCCCAGTGTGATACAACATACAAGACAGCTTTTTTTTGTTTGTTTCTCTTTGGTGAAAATCATGCCTTTCACTAGAATATGTTTGAGTGTTGTAATACTTAAAATAGTATTGGGTATATGGCATGGTGGTGATGAAAATTAGTCCTTATGGCTACATGCTAGTCATTAGAATTTGGAGTAGGAGGCAGAGTTATCACTGGCAAGGCAATGACTTGACTTCTATCAACTAACCTTACTGGTAATTGTCTCTAGTTGTTAAATGGATTAAGGATGGACCATCCCTCAAGCAGAGAACTCTGGGGGTACGAAACAGGTCTTTTAACCTGGTCTTTAAGGACTGTTAACCACGGAGGAAAAGGTGTTGATGCTTCATACATAGCGCAACCTGAGGTTGGGGAGGACCACTGGGGAGCCTGTAACCAAAACTAGAAGGTAACTTCTGGGATGGATGGAGGTTCTCTTGAAACAGTGCCAACCTAAATCTACCTCAGGTAAGTAGTTAGAGTGACTCAAGATTTCAGACCAAACACTTGTATTCAATGTATCCCTACGCTTTAATGTTTTTGTTTTCCCTTAATTCTTAAATAAACATTTGTCCTGAGAAAATCCACTTTTGTTTCCACTGTTGTAAGCAAAAGCTTTTCCCCTGTACTTGGCCTCTGAGTCCGGCAGATGTCCAAGAATCCTCTCACAGCGCACACTGAAGTCCAATCAACAGCCACCTTCAATATAATTTGTTTTGCCTCAGTAACGCTGAAGATGGAGATTCATGTAACCCTTAGTCCTACTGATGGTGATAACCATCGTCTCTTTAAACCTTGGGAGCTTTTGATACGAAAGCACGGTGAACAGAATCCCGGAAGGCACGTCGTGGGTGTTTCGTAATAGATGTTGGATCCCTTTGGAGCCCCTGGCTGCATTACAAATACCCCAGGGAGGAACAGTAGCTTAACCAGGGCCCAGAACTCAGTTCCAGCAACCATCTCTTGTTTATATGAGTAACAACATCCTCAAAATTAAGGAAAATGTGGAACACTCTCAGCTCCAATCTTCCCACCTTGTCTGACTATTTGTTGGAGTGGGGTGAGGAAGGTGATATAAGAACAGTGGCATGGATATATGGGTTCCTGTGAGCTGGTCAGTCGTCGGCAACTGTGACCTATTTGCTATCTGTAAATCACAGTAGAGCATTACTGCTTGACTACCTAGGACGATAGCTTGTATCACAAGGCGGCCCGGGGACGCCTAGGCTACTTTGGCCTGATCCGTGACTAACTCCGCGGTGGTCTTGGGATAACTCTGCCTGTGATAACATCAAATACTTTGCTGACACAAATGTCTCTTGCCTGTGGTCACGATGTCCCCTGTGTTCCTCAAAAAAATTTGTCCCCCCATCCCAATCCCACCCTCTGGACCTTACTCATTCTATAGTCACATGGTCAGCTTCCTAGCCTGATGCTTTCAACGAATGGCACAAGAATGCCTAGCAAACCTGCTCCGTGGCTGGCAACTAAGTTCCTGACACAACATGGATAACTTCCATTAGAAAGTTCATCCCACTTGATGTTCATGTGCTCTGTGTGTCCATGTGTTCTGCCAACAGTATCAGTTCTGGGGTTTTAGGTGACTTTCATTGTGAGAGAATAAGGCCAGAAGACAGATAAATGGAAAGGAGGAAATGGTGCTACTTCAAGATTTGTTTTTCCTTCTGACGTCCATATAGATGTTCATATAGCTAGAATGAGGCCTGCAGACTTCATGCTTTCCTCCCATAATGCACATGCACATCCCAACATCAAGGGGCATGGTGAGATGTATTTCTGGGATAAGCAGAAGTAGCCTGTACAAATACATGGAAAAGAAATGGTACCCCAGTCTCTCTGGGGAAATAGAAAACAAAGGGTTCCTCCCAGTACACATCGGCCCCTAGTGTTTCTGCAGCTGGTTCTTTACAGTGACCCTCGAGGAAAACTCAAAGTGCCGTCCAGTCTTCCTCATTTCACAGGCAAACCTGAGCTTTGTGTCAACAGCTTTACACAGAGATTTGGGCTGAAGTGGGTGAGGGAAGCCGAAGGCAGTTGCCCTTGCAGAGAGATCCCTAATGCTGGCAGAGGAAACGTAAAAGGCAAAAGCTTAACAGCCACTATCAATGGTGACTGACAACGTCAAATAGTTGGGTCCAGTTAGGAAAGGTCAGGGCTCTTGCCTTTTGTGCCCTAAATTTTGGGCACTATCTCTTGTGCCCATTTTCAAATTTCTCTGTCACCCGGTTGGACCCAGGACTCTTGGTCTTAATGCCTAGTTAGAAAGCTGTATTCACATACCTGAAATTGGGGAGAAGCCTTTGGATGGACTGCTAAGTGGACTCAATGAATCCAGCACTTCAACTAGAACCTTCCAAACTAGAAGCTTGTTGCCCTGCTGCCCCTTGCTGAATCCCAGAGGCCCACCGGGCCCAGTTTGGGAACCTGACTGTGCTTGGGAAATTACGATCCTGGAGATGCTGGAGTTTCAACTGAAAGTCTCTTTTCATTTGGCCATATTTCTCCGATGTGATCGGATTGTATGTTCAGTATAACTTCCAAAATGACTGCACCATTTGGGGTCCTATCAACAGTGCGTGAAAGTTCGTATTTTTCTGCTGTCTTATCAACGCTTCGTGTCGCCATTCTTTTTCAAGTTAGCCATTATGGTAGGTGTGCACTCTTAATACCTCTGCTTCATCATCACTCTTCTCCAAATGAACCCCACCGATATGACTTCTGATCTTTTGGAGTTATCTGCACTGTTCACTCGAAGCTGCTAATTCACTACAAGTTCTTTCCCTGACCATTGGTATGGACTGCTGTTGCATTTAGTCTTCAAACATTTTTCTGTCTTAACTCATTTATCCTGGATTTTCTTTATGCTGTTTACTTAGGAAGACTGGAGGATTTACTGTCAACTCCATGACATTAAGTAATTATGCGTAGACAATATGTACAAGCTAGGATTTTCCCGAAAAACTACACTGTAGTTCCTGTTATGCTCACTGTTTTGGTTCCTCAGACTTTCTCCTCATCCTTGTAATGGAGGAAAGAACAGAAAACCTAAAGGAGTCATCACAAGACTAAAACTTGACTCTCAAACAAGGTGGGTGTAGAGGGGATTAACATGACCGCTAACCCAGCCATAGAAATCAAGATCCTTAGGCACTGTGCTTTATCACAAGGTGTAAGGCCCAAGCAGACCGCTCCAGGGAGTGTCAGGAGCACAGACCTGAGAATAAAGATATGGAGACTGGACCCATTGCTGATCTCTGGTCACTTTCCGATTCTGCATAGTTGTCCAAAATCAGCAGCAAACAGGCCACTCCAAAAACAAGATTCCAAAGAGAAGGTTCTCTAATGCAGTCTGCACTGGCCCAGGGCAGTAGAACTGCCCACCTGTGACTGTGCAGATGCTCCTTTTCACCAGCTCTCCCTCCTCAGGGCAGCAGCCTCCGGACGCAGGTGCCCCTGACCTGCACCTGCCGGGGCTTCTCTTCACTGACCCCTCTAGGTAGAGGCCGCTCTCCTCAAAACTGCCAGCCTGCAAGGCCACGCAGCCCTCTCTCAGCAACCCTGTCCCTTTGGGGCAGCTCTTCTTGCCCGCTTGTGCCTATATGAGTGTCTTTGACTCCTCTGTCCTTTTCCCTCATAAACCTGCTCTTTAAATATAACTAACGACTGTCTTGTGAGATACTCGCCCAGAAAAACTGCCACGTGCCGCTGAATGGGAGCGCTGGTGAAACCTTTTCTAGAGTGAACCCAGGGGCCCCATTCTCTACACCCATCAACTTCAAAACTACATCACTTGCGTGATCTTAAGCGTTCTGTCGTCAGTGGTCTCGGCTTCTCTGTAGGGGTAACCCTCCCCTCATGCCGCAGAGTCTGCTGCGTCCATTGGAGCACAGCACTGCCACAGTTCTCCCCTTTCTCCTGAGTCACTAGCTTCTCCCTCTTTTCTGGATCTGTTCCGCAGCATGTAAACATGCTGTTACAGAATCACCCCTAAAGGAGCTTCTTGAATCCCTCATCTCTCTTTCCACCTACTGGCCACTTCGTCAGCCCTCTACACAGCACAGCTTTTGAAATGTTAACAACACATACTGTCTCCGTTATTTTTTAATCCCCTCTTGAATCTGAAGCCATTTTCAGAGTTGCTGGGTTCAGAGAGTGGGGCCCTTGGGTTCATTCTCGGAAAAGGTTTGATACAGGGGCAAGGGACACTAAAACCAGCCAAGGACTGCCCGAATAGTTTCACCAGTCATGGTCTGGATGCTTCATCCACACACGAATGCAATTACAAGACTACTCAGGTTCAGAGAACAATAATGGAGCTCATTTAACAAACCGGGGGTTGGGGGTGGGGGGTGAGGAAGTGACTGAGTCCACAAAGGGCCGTTTACCTCACCCGAAGCAGTGTCCAGTGTTTTCATCCTAAAGATGGCATCTTCCAGCCACTGCAGGCCTGGAGCAGGCAGATGACAGGCTGGGGTCCAACTCGAGAAAACAAAGACACAACAGGAGACGCTCCCAGGGCTGCCGAGATGCCCCAGCACAGCTCAAGACAAGCAACACTCAACAACTGCAGCGGCTGAACCACTCGACAAATGGCCACACAGCCCAGAGAGGAGCCCGACTCCGGGTCTTGGCCTTCCCTGCCAGGCTGTAACTGCAGCAAAAGCAGGAACAGTTCCAGTCACTGGGCTACTTGCAATGGCTTTGAACTTTTCCTCTCTGAGGCTGGCTGCTGGAGCCTCTCCATGTCCTTCAAAGGCCCGCAGAGGCCGTCTTCTGGCGTGGTGGGGTCCTAAATCGCTGACCCTGGAATCGCTATAGATTCCCAAAGCGCTGAAATGCCAAAAGCTCACTCCTGAACGCCGAGTGCTGGGGACACGCGCATAGACAGGACAGGGCTGAAAGAGCTGCCCGGAAAGGGACAGAGGCCTGCATGGCTGCAGGCGGGCGGCCTTGAGGAACTGCCTCGGCTGAGGGAAGTCAGTGCTGAGAAGATCCGGCAAGGTCACAGGTCACAGGCAGGTGGGCGGGGAAAGGCTGGTGAAAAGCAGCTCCTGCATCTAGGATCTGTACAGGTGGGCGGCAGGCCGCTGCCGGGGGCCAGGTAGGCTTCTCTTTGGGAGGCGCTCACTCCCTCGTGGACTGGCTTGTTTCTGTTGATTTGGGGTAACTATGTAGACTTTGAAAGGGACCGGAGAATCTACAGTGGCCCCCAATCTCCATTATCTTTACCTTTGGTCTGCGCCCTAAGACACAGCATCTGACACTCTGCTTGGGTCTGTGCATTGGCGCCTAAGGATTTTTAGTTTCTACACCTGGTTTAAGGACAACGTTGATCACTTTAACCACCACATGAGCCAAGTGAGCGTCCTCTTTTTTTCAGTTATATATATATATATATATTATTTTCTTTTTCTTTTTTATTATATTAGTTTATTTTTACATATTTTTGTATATTTTTCCATCTCAGTTGCAGTCCCCTTGGGTTTCCCATCACCAAATCGCCCATGTGCCATCACCATAGTCCAGTGCATTTCCCTCCCCCCCCACTATTT